CCCTCCCCAGAACCCAACCATGCTGGCACTTTGATCTCAGAATTACAGCCACCAGAACTGTGAGAAATAAAGGTGTGTTGTTTAAGCCACCCAGGCTATAGTATTTTGTCATGGCAATCTGAGCTAAGACAAGGAATGATTGATTTTCGTTATAATCTTGCATCTGGGTCCCATGTAGATTCTCACCACTGTTAATAAAGGTTTTCTCCTTGGGTGTTAAGGAAGGAGGGAAGGATAGAGAAGAGAAAAGAAAGAAAAGGAAAATGAAAACATCTTCCAACCACATTGAAAAGCCATCCAGAAACAAGGTGGCAAAACACCGGTAACTGTGGAAGCCAAGTGACAAGTACTTATTCTGTTCTTGCTATTTTTATGTATGTTTGGAATTTTCCTTACTAAGGAAGCTTGTGATGTCATGTGTCACCTGCAATGACATGGCCTGATGAGAAGGCACTTCACCTCTGGTATTTCCCCCAAAACCCATAAGCTCTGTCTTAATCATTAGAAAAACATTATACAAACCCAAATTGAAGGCCATAGCTAACCAGGACTTCAAAACTGTCATGGTCATGGAAGACAAGGACAAACTGAGGAAGTGTCGCAGATCAGAGGAGCCCCAGGAGATGTAACAGCCAAACACAACATGGGATCCCGGATGGGATCCTGGAACAGAAAAGGACATTAGCAGGAAAACTGGTAAAATCCAAATAAAATCTGGAGTTTAGTTAATGATAATGTACCCATGTAAGTTTTTTAGTATGGCAAATGTACCATAGTTATATGTGTTCACTTTTGGGGAAGCTGAAGGTTATATGGGAACTCTCTGTACTGTCTTACCACATTACTGTAAATCTAAAATAATCCCAAAATAAGAAGTTCATTTACAAAAAAGAAAGCATTCATTGTTCAGCTTCATTTGTAATTAAATGATTAAAATGATTAAGTATTTTATATATCAAAGTGGCAAAATAAAAACACTCATATGCAGTGTTTGCCATGGGCGGTAGGGAAGAGACAGCACATGTTTGTGCTCTGTGGGGGGGAGTATTGCAATGTTGGGGTTCAGTTTGGCCATATCACTAAAACTAATGCAGCAAATCTCCCCTGATTCATCATTTCCACACGTAGAAATGTACCCTACAAAACTCTCCCTTGGGTGCTCAGACATACGTACAGGGTGTTCATACAAACAGAGCAGAGTGATGGACAGGACTTGGTTCCCAGCTTGGGACACTCAGGACAGCCTCAGGCTGCATCCATTCGCCCCAGCATGAGACTTGGAGGGGCTCAGCAACTCATGTTCTAATGAGGTCCCAGGCAAGCCTCAGAATCTCTGAATTATGACATACTCAGAAAAACTACACAGCAGGTAAAAATGTGTGTTAGACTGGTTCTGTACTGACCTGAAAGATGTTCAAAGATTACGGTTAAGTAAAACGAGGGGTGTGTGTGCATAAATCCAAAGAAAAAGGAATAGAAATTATTATTCTTTCTGGGAAGAGTAGAGAGAATGGGAAGAACTAGGGGAGGAAATTC